GCAGGGCCGACCCTGAAGGCTGACAGGGCCCACCCAGGACGAGGACACGCCGACCAGCTGGTGCAGGAAGGGGGGGGTGCTTCTCTTTACAGGACGGCTCAGGATGAGAGGGAGGAGGGCGCGTGAGAAAGACGGGCTTTACCTTTGTCCACTACATCCCAGACCTCCACTTTCACGATGTCATCAGTGGCTAAAACGGGAAGAGAAGAAGATGAGTGCCCAAGTGACTGCTGGGGCCACAAGGATGGGCTTTCAGAGCCACAGCCTTCTCCCTGGCGCCGCCCAAGGGCACCCAGCTCCGCCCAGAACCTTTGCATGTGCTGCAGCCTGAGACAACCCCTCCCTAGGTGGCAGGGAGGCCTCCACTCTCCACCCCAAGGATTTTGAGGGGAACCGAGGCGCCCCTGCCAGCCTCACCCAGACTGGGGGAAATGCCTCGGGCAGGAGGGCAGGGGGAGGTGAGTGAGGCTCCCTGAGCTGCCCCGAGGCTGCAGGTGCCCTGGTTGGTGAGCAGGGGCCACAGCGCCTGGTAGAGGTCCCAGGACCAGCCTGGCCTCACAAAGGGGACTCAAGACCCTGTGGAGGCCTGTGTCCTGCTGTGGCCCGTGTGTTCTCAGTGAAAAGCAACGTTTCAACGCCTCGTGAATCCCCACACCCAGGAGCCCCTCCGCCTCCCTGGAAGCTGCTGGCGGCTCCAGCCATGCCCGGGAGGCCACCAGGTGCCCATCAAGTCCTTAGGGGACAGGGACTGCAAACCCCAAGGAGAGACCGGCTATGGCGAAGGGCCGTCAGCGGATGGAGCCGCACGGGGCCTGGGTCCCGGGTCCCAGGCGGGCCGTGTCCCGGGTGAGGCCAGAGCGTTTGCCTTTCCGAGGTCTCCAGGCTCAAGAATGGAGCCCCTGCTGCCCGCCTGCTCCTCTGGGAGGGGCTTAGGGTGTCCCAGAGGTGACTTTTTATTTATTTATTTTTTTTCTTTGCTTCTTTTGCTCTTTTTTTAAATTTATCTTTCATTTTTTGAAGTGACTTTGATGAGAGTCACGAGAGCCCCATGAGGTCAGGGCGCTCCCACACATGGACAGTTTCCATGACGACGCCATGCTGAGCATGCCGTCTCCAGGGAACCAAGGCCAAGAAGGGCAATGGAATGACCCCCGCCCGCACTGCCAGCACTCACTTTTGTAGCTCCAGTGGATGCTGGTGACCTGGATCTCCTGGGTGGGGATGTACTCCTCCACGAACTTCTTCCCCTGCAGCCGGTGCCACAGCGCGGTCTTGCCCGTGTTCCTGTCGCCCCGGATCACTATCTTCACTGGCGGGAGGGTGAGAGGGCAGATCAGGCACACCAACCAGCCAAGCCAACTTTCACTCACCCAGTCTGTGTGCACACGCTTCCTCTGCGCAGACCCTGCCTGTGGCTGGTGAGCAGGGGAGCGGAGCGCCCGGTGGGCTGGAGGGGCCGTCAGGGCCCCATTAGGCCTCTGCTGGCCCTCCCTGCTCTGCAGCAGAGCCCAGAGGCATTCCCTCCTGGGCTGACAGTGGCGTCTGCTCAGCCTTCGCACTCACAGGACAGCGTCTCTCCTCGGGCTGGACTCCGAGGACGGCCAGGGCCAGGGTCAAGGTTGGGGGCTGCAGTTGGGCGGCGCTTCCTAGATGCTGGTGGTTTGCCCTTAACCTACTTTCCTCCGCGCTGTATCTTTAGTGCACAGTTCTGCAGAGCGCCGGGCCTCCGAAGACTCCCGGGGGTTACGGCAGCCCTTCCCCGGGAGGACAAAGCCCGCGTCCTATCTGGCCCCCTCGACAACAAGTGTTTATGGGGTGGCCTTGTGCCCGGCGTGGACGCGAGAGGACAGAGCAGGGTCGGGGAGAGCCTGCCACGTGCCTGTGGGACAAGCGGGGGAAGGGGCCAGGGCAGGAGCTGTGCAGGGGCCAGAGCCCACACTCTAGGCAGGAGTGTGCACCTCCGGCTGCCTCGAGAGAAGGCAGGGCTCAGCACCAGGTGCCTGGAGCTGGCTGGTTCCGGGAAGACGCCCGTCCATCTGTCCGCCCGAGGAGGGCAGTCAGGAGTGCCTCGCGGAGCCAGTGGGGCGGACGAGGACCAGGACGAGGTGGGAGTGGAGCTGTCGGGGCTGCCCCCGCCCCCCTGCTGACTTCCACCAACTACCTGTGCAGGGTTTATTCCTCTTCTTGCCTGGCATTTGGAAGATGTGCAACATGCTCCTATTCTTTGATTGGCATCTCTTAAGTTTTTAACATTTACATTTGCTGTAATAAAGTCTAAAGTTAATAAATTTGTCTTCCTCTTCAAAGACACAAGGACTTCCGAATGCCTTGATTCTGACCTCCTCCGTAATGTGTTGACTCCTGGGATTTTATTTTATTTTATATATTTTTATTGATTTCAGAGGAAGAAAGAGGGAGAGATAGAAACATCAATGATGAGAGAGAACCATTGATCGGCTGCCTCCTGCACGCCCCCACACTGGGGATCCAGCCTGCAACCCGGGCCTGTGCCCTGACTGGGAATCGAACCCGGGACCCTTCAGTCCACAGGCTGACTCTCTATCCATTGAGCCAAACCAGCTAGGCCCTAGCCTCTACTTTTAAGTTAAAAATAAATAAATAAAAATCAATCTCAGAACCTCAGGCATTGGCTCAAATGAGCTGAGTGATTGGCCTGGAGGACCTTTAAGACTCGCCCAGAAGGGCTAAGAGCAGCCCTTCCCCGGCAGCACGGGAACCAGCCGCTGAGCAGCCGAGGGCCACCGCCCTTCCCTCCACTGCCGCCCAGGGTCTCCTCCACCCACTCACAGCCCCACACGGCTCCTGAGAGAACAGGGATCGTGTTCGTTTATGAGTCATGAGGGGGGGGGGGGCGCATGGGCTACCGCGGACGCACACCTGCGCTCCTTCCGTGGGACGTGGGTTAAAAGCTCCCCACGCCCTTCCCTGCGGCTGGAAACCAGCGCCCGGGCGCCACCCGGCAGTGTGGACTCTGCTCGGCTCCCAGCCCGGAAGCTCACTCGGGCCCCGGGGCTGCCCTCCGCCCCTCTGCACAGCGCCCAGAACACCTCCCCAGCCTCTGCCCAGCAGCCAGCTCTGACCTCTAACCCCGTCCGCACCGTCGCCGCGCCCTCGGTTCCCGTGGCTTCAACCTCTCAGACAGGCCCGCGGCGTCCTCCCCCTGCAAGGCCCTGATGCACAATCAATATTTGCTAAGCAAATGCACGCGCGCAGGAAAGCCCGGGAGGAGCCGGGCAGGTCAGGACCGCGAGGGCAGCTGCAAACGGGCCACGGGGCGGACAAGTCATCTGCCAGATGGAGCGAAGTGTAACAAAACCGTGAGCAACGAAATTAAAGCCGGGCCCAAGTGCAGATTTAAACGTCTGTGCAATAAGTATTCGCACTTGTTCTCTTCTCTGAGTGTGAGCGCAACGCGCACCAAGTTGAGTGGAACTACATCAGCCGCAGCCCCCTCCCCGCTAGTCCTCCCCGTGGGCACGGTTTCCACTGAGAGAGAGAGAGGAACGTCCATCAGCTGCCACCGGGGTTACCCACAACCTGCTCGGTGTCCTGGAGCAGGACTCGAACCCGAGACCCTTCGTGCAGGGACCACCTCCAACCGGCGGAGCCACGGCGGCCGGGGCACCGCCTCCCTGTCACCCCGCACAGGGGCTTCCCAGGTCCTCGCTCTCACACCTCAGCCCCAAATGCCACCAGAGGACAGCGCCCCGCGGAGGAGCAAGGCCCCCTAACCCTGCGGCGCCCGACCTGAAAGCGGAGCGGCCAGCCCTCCCGTCGCCGCGGACGGAAACTCCAAGGAGGTCACGGCCGCACCGTCTGCATAATTGATGGCGGACGGAGGGCCTCCCGCAGGGGAGGGAGCCCGTGCCTCCGGAGCTCCTAGCGCACCCCACAAACGCTTCTTTAAAACGGGGGGGGGGGGCCTGTGGCGTCGCTGATATTCCGTCGTCAAACGCGAAGTCAACAAAGGAAAACCCGGCGGCTCACTCCTCCGGCGCCTCCCGCCCCCGAGGCGGCGGCCCACGGACGAGCGCCCGTCCCCCCCGATGGCACAGGCCGGGGGCGCTCCCCGTTATGTAAGACTCCCCTCGACGAGGCCCGGGGCGCCGCCGCGCGCACCTGGAGCGGACGCCCCCGGCAGATGTCACCGCGCAAACCGCGCGCAGGGCGCCCGGTGCCGCGTCCCCGGGAAGCGCCGGGTCAGAGGGGCGCGCCCGCTCCCTGCGCCCCCCAGCGAAGGCGCCAGGGCCCCTGCACCGCCACGGGCCGGGGCTCAGCGCACCCCGAAACGTGCGGACAGGGCCTGCCAGCATCACCCGCCCGCGGAGCGGCCCCGGCGCTTCCCGGGCCGGTGTGCGCCGCATACGGGACCGCGGACCCCGCTTTCGCGTCCGCCCCCGCCCCCGCGCCAGCCGCACTCACTGTTGTACTGCACTCCCTTGGCGAAGCGCCTCTGCAGCGCCTGGTTCATGGACTGCAGCCCGGCCGGGATGTTCTTCTCGCGGCCCGCGGCCGGCTCCGACCCCACGAGCTTCTTGAGCGCGGAAAACATCTTCCCACTCCCGCGTCCGAGCGCGGCGTGGCCCGCGAGCTCAGCGGCGGCGGCGGCGCGGCGCGGGTCGCACCATGCCCCGCTCCCCGGAGGCCGGGCACCTGCTTCGGAGGCCGCTCGGGAACTCAGCCGCGGCGACTGTGCTCCGGGCCCCTCGGTCCCGAGCGCGGCCGCCCTCCTCCCGTCTGCACCGCCATCTCGCCAGCGGCTCTGAGGGACCCGCGGCTACGGGTCGCCGCGAGGGCCTCGGGAATGCTGCGGTGCGCATGCGCAAGAGGTGGCGCGCACGGCTACGGGTCGCCGCGAGGGCCTCGGGAATGCTGCGGTGCGCATGCGCAAGAGGTGGCGCGCACGGCTACGGGGCGCCGCGAGGGCCATGGACTGCGGCGGTGCGCATGCGCACGAGGCGGCGCGGGCGAAAGCGGTGCTGGGGTTTCAGTTCAATCCCGCTCTGGCCGCGTCCGCGCTTGGAGCCCTTTCTCGCCCTCACCCCGGACTCCGGGGCCCCGGGTCCACAGCGAACACCCCGCTCCCCACATCTTCCCGACGCGATGCGCCTGCCCAGGTTCACTTTCTGAGACTCCTGTCTCCCTTCGGAACCCCCAGCCGTTCTGGAAAAATGTTTATTTGTGTAACAAAGCGCCCGCCGGGGGTGGGGCGCGGGCGGGGGGCGCGGGGCCCCCGGGTCACTTCTTCTTCTTCTTGGCCGTCTTGAACTTCTCCTCGATCACGCGCTGGGACTGCTTCTTGATCTCGGCCCGCGAGGGCACGTAGCTGTGGTCCACGTCGGCGAAGTGGAAGGTTTCTGGGGGAGAGGCGGGAGCCGGGTCAGCCCTGGGCTGGCCTCCGCCTTCATTCATCGCCGGGCGGGCGTGGACCACACGACTCCGTCCCGGATGCTCTGGCCTTTGGGCCCTTACGGACCGGGAGAGACCGCGCCCCCGGGCGCCTGGGTGTGTCTTCCTGCACAACGACCATTGCACAGCCCTCCCTCCCCGATCGAAGTCTCACCCCAACATCCCCGGCACAGCTCAGCCCCAGTCCCCTGCCCACCGGAGTCACTCGGAGGAGCTGCCCTTCAGCTGCTGACCCCGCCTTTCCCTCAGAAACCCCGATAAGGGCTCTCTCTGCCCGGGGCTCCCCCTTGCTCCTTTCTGCCTGCTGATGGGGATCAGGACATGGCTAGCCTCTCCACGTGGCTTGGCCACACCAAGTCCCGGGCACACCCTCCATCCCTGTCCCCCCTGGGCAGGTGGAGCGAGCAGCACACCCAACCTCTGCCCCTGCACCGCTCAGCCCAGCCATCCGCCCCACCTCCTGGCCCCCCAGCCCCCCCAGCCTGTACCTATCATATCGTCCTCCAGCTCCTCAAAGGTGATCCTGGTGTTCTGCTTCTCCTTCAGAGTCGAGGATTCCAGGGCGTCCCTCACCTTCGTGTTGTCCTGCAGGGCCCGGGGGACGGTCAGCTCTGAGGGGACACGGTATGGGGGGGCTTCTGCGCCCCCGCCCCTGCGTTACCTCCTCAGTGGTGGACAGCGCCTGCAGTTTGTCAACCAGGTACAGGAGCTTCCTCTCACAGTACGCCAGCTTGCTGTGCAAGTCCAGGCCGTCCAGGCTGTCGGGGGTGGCCATCTTCTGCAGACCGCAAGGTCGGGCTCAGACCCGCTCCGGCCTCCCCAAGCTCCCCGTGCAGGCCGCTCCGCCGCACGCGGGCCGGTACCTGGTCCTCGGGCAGGGCGATGCCGACCAGCCGGAGGTACAGGTTGTCGATGCCCATCTGCAGGGTGAGCAGCAGCTTCTGGCTCTTGGTCATGTTTGTGTGGGCCAGCTGCAGCCTCTCTTGCTCCCCCTTCAGCAGGTCCTGCATTTTATGCTGGACGGACTCAGAGCTGTCGAGTACGATGGGGAGGAAGGTGGCACAGACCTGAGGGCGGAGTTGGGTGCTGTGCTAGATTCAGGGGTTCAAGAGCTGCGATGTGGGCGTGTGGGTCCCCGGCTCCGCTGCAGAGCACGCATGAGCAGGCTGGCTGGCAGTGGACACCCTGGGCTCAGAGCCTGGCCCTGGCCCAGCCTGGGGGGCGGGCAGCCTGGACAGAGGAAGGGCAGGGCCCCTGGGTACCTGTCGGAGCTGGACGTCTGGTGGAACTTCAGCAGCGCCTCCTCCATCTCCAGCTTCCTCATCAAGGCCCCCAGCTGAGTCCGCTTCTCCTCACACTCCCTCATCTGCAGCTGCAGGTTGTCCTCCGTGTTCCTCTGAGCCAGGAACTGGCCTGTGATGTCCTGGCCGTCCCAGGAGGGAGAAGCAGGTGTGGGCCAGCCGGGCAGGGCCCACTGAACTGCCCCTCCCCGTGGTCAGGAATGATGTCCTTGGCGGCTGGACCCTGAGGGCTTGTGGGGGGCCATCCGTCCGTCGGGTGAAGTGCTGTGTGTGTGTCATTGCACGTCACCCCCACAACAAGCAGAGGACAGACCGGAGACCACCACTGAGAGACTGCACGGCCGCAGGGCGCCTGTGCAAGGGTGGACAAGCTTAGGTCAGGGCCGAGGACAGGGCTCGAGGCTTGCTAAGAATAAACCCAGATCGGATTAAAATAAGGGGGGACAGGTGGAGAGGCAGCTGCTCCTTATAATGCCGTCAGCTTGGGAAGGGGATGGGGTTGGAGGTGGAGGCCACACCTTAGCCGAGGCCTTCGGGTCCTCAGATTCTGTGGCTCTCTCATCCCCTGGAACATGCTGGGAGGGGCCTCTACTCTGAGTTGTCGAGGCCACAGCATTGCGTATTCATTCATTCCAAAAGGTGCCCGCAGAGCCCGGCCCAGTGGGCGCGGAGCCCCCCGCCCCTCCCTAACACCCCGGGAGTGCCCAGGAGCTGTACCCAGAGGTGGGAGCACCGCACAGCCGTCTTGATTCTCTCCAGCAGAGCAGTCAGATTCGCCTGGTACTCGATGTCGGCCTGGGAGGTCTCTTTTTTCCTCACTGGGCGGAGCAGAGGGAAGGATGGCCAGCGTGCAGGCGGACTGGGAACAGAGGTCTCTGCACCTGCCCTCTCGTCAGGGCGGGCCCCCCAAGAGCTGGGTCCCTGTCACAGGTGCTTGCACCTTACCCCGCTTCCAGGCAAACCGGCCCTTCAAGGGTGCCCCTGGGCATTGTCTCCAGAGGGGAACCACGGAGCCTGGCTCGGTGGGGCTTAGGGGGGCTTCTCGGAGGCGGCTCAGAGGGCCCGAGCTGTCTCTTCTGAGGAGTCATTGGGTGACCAGGCCCTGGGGTGCCTGTGGGGTTTGCAGCTAAGAAGCCAAAGGTTCAGTAATTGGCCATGAGCCCAAAGCAGGTGGCCTTGAAGCTGGTGGCCACAGGCGCCCCACCTCTGCAGGTATGACCAGGGGGAGGCAGGGGCACGCCCCCTCCCTCCCTCGGTGACCTGTCTGGGTGGCTCCAGCCAGTGCTGGCCTCTCAGGTCCTGGTTGGGGCGGGTGGGAGCAGAGCTCTCACCTTTCAGGCTCTCCGCACTCATCAGATTGGTGGGGAAGTCCAAGTCCCTCCGGCCCTGCTGGACGGGGTGGGGTGAGGTGAGCAGCATCCTCCACAGAGGAGCCCCCCAGACCCCGGCTGCACCGGCCGTGGGCACTCACCCGGCGGAACTTCTCACTGGTCTCCTTGGTGTGGATCTTGTCGATCATCTTCTTCTGCTGGTTCAGCCTGTTCTCCCGGGCCCGGCGCTCCTCGATGAAGGTCGCCTCCTTCTGCCGCAAGTTCATCTAGGGACACAGGCAGGCGGTGGGAGTCCGTCCCAGGGAGGCCTCCCCCGTGCTAACTCCAGTGGTCACTTCCCCCGAATTCCTAGATTTGAGAACAGCCATCGAGGCTGTCGGCCAGGCCTTCTTCCTGCAACACGGTGCCCAGCGCTTTTACCATTCTGCTTCCCTCCCTGCACTGCGCTCCTCCACCCCAGTCCGCAGGAGTCAGCTGGCCACAGGCATGGCACCGGCCCTCTGCAGCCTTCTGCCCAGCCCCCCTCGGAACTCATACTGGAGTGTCTAAAAACCAACTCTTCATCTTTCTCCAAACCTGGCCTCTTCCTGTCCTGCTCCCGTGGCTGTGCATTCTGGGGGCTGCTCCCTTTCACGTCTAACTCAGTGCCCCCTCCTCGGGTGACCACTCAAAGGCTTCTCAGCCCTCTGGGTTCGCTGCCCCCCCCCCCCCCCACTCTGCCATGGGTCTGGCCCCAGTGACCAGCCTCTGGGCCCCTCTGGTCTGCAGCCAGAACACACCTGTTTGGAAACACAAATGGGGTCCCATCTGGCCTGTTTCCTCCCAGGGCTCTAGGTTAGGGGGACAGGCTCCAGGATGGGGGGGGGGGGGCGAACCCTGAGCCCCAGCCACCCACAGCTGCCACTGCTCTCCGCCCGCTCCTCTGCAGCTTCGCCCCAGCTCCTGTGCGTCCTGCGGGCCCCCAGCAGCCAGCAGCCCACAGCACCCAGGTCTCTGCTGTGCTGGCCAGAGCCTGCGTGACACGGACAACTGCATGAGTGGCCACCTCCTCACGTGCCCCTTCCCGAGGACGGCTTTGAGGGGGCCTCGGCACAGACTGGGCGGGTTGGTGGCCCTGCCCAGCCCAAGCCAGGTCTCTCTCTCCTCTGTCTACCCCATGGCTTCCTGACGAGGAGGCTCCCTCTGTCCAGGGCCACAGTGTGAGCAGTGGGCGGTCTGGACTTTGGCGGTCGGAGGTGGTAAGGCACGGAGGTGTCCTGAGGAGGCCTGGGCCAGACGGGTGTGCACAGAGCCCTGCAGGGCCCCAGCCAGGGGCCTGTGCTCACCTTGACCTCATCCGTAATCATCATGGCATCTTGGGACATGACTGTCATGTCCGACAGCTCCGAGCAGTAGTCAGCCATCAGGTTCTGCAGCTTGTCCAGCTGGGTGGGGTATCCTGACAGCTCCTGAGGGCAGGGCAGGTGGGCACAGACCGGATGGCACCTCCCCTGGCCTCCCCGTTCTCTGTGGCCCCACAGGGTGGCCTGTGCCCACCCCCCACACCTACACCGCAGACTGAGCGCCCCGAGTATGGGGCCAGAGGGGCTCGCTGGACATGGGTTCGGGGTCAGAGACTCAGGGCTCGAGGGACAGGCTGCCCTGACCAGCTCCTCCGGTTCCCGTCCCAGCGGAGATCCCGGCCCTGCACACGGGCTGGGCCTGAGGCCCCGGCCCCTGCCGCCAGCGGGACCCCCGGGGCTGGGCTCACTTTCTTCAGGTAATCCAGCAGCCCCAAGTACAGCAGGTGGATGTTCTGGCTCGTGGTGATCTTGATTGTTGTCTTTTCGATGTTGTTCTCCAACTGGCGGATGACCTGAAGAAGGTACAGCGAGCGCCAGAGGCCAGCCCTGGGGGGCGTGTCTCACGCACCTAGCCCCGCCTTCCCGCGGAGCCCCGCCCCCAGCCCACCTCCCAGAGGCCCCGCCTTCTCGCCGAGCCCCGCCCCCACCTGCAGCAGGCGCAGCTCCTCCTTGGTGGCCACCGGCTGGTGCTGCAGGCCCTCCAGCTGCAGCTGCAGGCTCTCCAGCTGCTGCCCCCGCCGCCGCACCAGGTGGATCAGCACGTTGTGCACGTTCACGCGGTCGAAGACGTACTTGCGCAGCTTCTCCCGCGCCACCTGGTCGGGAGGGCACGGTGTGCCGGGGGCCGCGGATCCCCGCGCCGCGGGCGGGCGGGGAGGGGCCCTGGGGCGGGAAACTGCCCCACCGGCTCCACAGCGTCACTTAGCGGGGCGGGGGCGGGGGTCCCTGCTGCAGCCTCACCTCCATGGAGCAGCGGCAGTGCGCCAGCCTCATGGGCACGTCGTTCCCGCAGGCCCGGGAGATGGACCGCTTGTCGTGCTGTGGGGCGGCGGCGGCTGAGCCGGGCGCACCTCGGCGTCCCCCCGCCGCCGGCCCCGCCAGGCCTCTCCCGCCCGCGCCAGCCCCGCAGCCAGACCCCAGGAGGCAGGGCGCTCAGGGGCCCGTCCGGGCCTCCCAGCTGAGGTGTGACAGGGGTGCGGAGCGGAGGGCCCAGGTCCCCCCGACAAGGCCAGAGGGCCCCGGCTGCAGGTGCAGCCCCGGAGCGCGTGTCCCCGCCCGCCCCTCCCGATGCCCCAGCTCCAGAGGTCAGAGCCGGGACAGGGCAGGGCGCTCCCGCCCACCGGAGGGTCCGGCCCGCCCAGCCCCACCCCCGGGCAGCGGGGCGGGGCGCGCTGTTCACATTCTTAGCCAAAGCCCACTCCTGGGCCCCGCGGCGGATGTTGCTGCGCAGGAGAGCCACCGTGGCCTTGTTCTTGACCGTCTTCTCCTTCATGGCCTGGACCTGCAGCGCCCGGCATTGCTCTGTGGGCCGGCAGAGGGAGGGGGCCAGGTGTGGGCCACGGGCTCCGCCGGGATCCGGGGCTGGAGGGCTCCCAGCCGGGGCCCTGCCTCCAGTCGCGGCTCCGTTGGGGCCGAGGGCCTCGCCGCTCAGCCGCGCTTAGCAGTGGGGAGCAGCTGGGTCCCTCCTTGTCCCTCCTTGTCCCCTTTAGCTTTGGGGTCGACGATGCTCCAATCTCTGTGGAGCCCCCCAGCTTCTCCTCTCCCCACCCGGGTCCCCTGCATGGCAGGCCTCTTTGCGGCCTCCTCCCAGCTGTTTGGGAGGTGGGTGGTGGGCTGACCACTAGGCCATTTGCCCTGGGCTGCCCCTGTGTTAAAAGAAGTTCTGCCCGGCCGGCGTGGCTCAGTGACTGAGCATCGACCTATGAGCCAGGAGGTCACGGTTCGATTTCTAGTCGGGGCACAGGCCCGAGTTTCCAGCTGGACCCCCAGTTGGGGCGTGCAGGAGGCTGCCGATCAATGATTCTTATCACTGATATTTGTAGCTCTCTCTTCCTCTTTGAAATCAATAAAAATATATTTAAAAAAACAAAACACTGCCCTGGCCAGTTTGTCTCAGTGGACAGAGCGTCGGCCTGCGGACCGGAGGGTCCGTGGCTCAATTCCAGTCAAGGGCACGTACCTTGGTTGCAGGCTCCTCCCCGGCCAGGGTGCGTGCAGGAGGCAACCAATGGATGTGTTTCTCTCACATTGATATTCCTCTCTGTCTTTTCCTCTCTCCCATTGTCTCTAAAAATCAATGGAAAAATACCCTCGGGTGGGCGAGGATTGAAAACAAAACAAAGCCCTGAGCTCCTGCAGGCGGCCCCGGACTTGGTGTGGGTGTGAGGGGCTCACCCTGGAGCTGCGGACTGTGGTGTGGGTGTGAGGGGGTCCCCGGGTGGCGGCTCACCCTGAAGCTGCGTGATGGTCTTCAGCTCCTGGATCTGCTCCTCCACGTCCCCCCCTTCGCCCCACATCTTCATCGTGGCCGCAGGCCCCCGCCTCCACCCTCCCTGTGCTGGGCCTGCTCAGCAGGACAACAGTTCAAATTGTCCCCGGAACCTCGGCCCATTGTGATGGGGGCCAAGGTTCTAAAGCCCCGGGCCCAGCACCACCCTCTGCCGCCAGCTGGCCTGAGGGTGAGCCTCCTGGCTGCTCTCTGTTTGGGGGCGTGGCCGGGGCCAGCACCTTCCCCCACAGGTGGGAGACTTCGTGGTGGTTTGGCAGGGCCGCCCCCCCCCCCGCCCCCCCCTTCCGTCCCGTCCCCTTCACTGTCTTCCCAACCCTGACCACTCACCCCCCAAGTTCACACTCCACACCCCAGTGACCATGAGACGCCCAGCCTCAGCCCTCGCTGCCTCCACTTCCCCCAGGAATTCCCAAGTCCAGCTTTATTTATTTATTTATATATTAAAACCTATTTTATTCTTGTTTGTTAATCCTCACCTGAGGATATTTTCCCATGGACTTTAGAGAGAGTGGAAGGGAGGAGGAGAGAAACATCGATTGGTTGCCTCCCATACAGGCCCGAGCAGGGGATCCAGCCTGCGACCGAGTCCTTGACAGGAATTGAACCCGGGTCCCTTCAGTCTGCAGGCCGATGCTTTATCCACTGAGGCACACTGGCTAGGGCCTGAGTCAAGCATTAGATGTCACTCCAGGAAGGGTCAGTCCCCCATCTCTGCACCCCCGGCCCAAGCTTCCCCAGAGCCGCGTGCCCCAAGCACGGGACAGCTGGGACCCCAGGAGGGGCGGCACCCACCGAATTTGGTTGTTACTTTTCCCAGCTACCCTGTGTGACTCCGCTAGGACCCCCCCTAACAAAACACCACGGACAGCAGCTTAAACAACAGACATTCATTGTTTCAGGTCCTGGGGGCTGGATGTCCGAGACCCAGGTGTGGGCAGGGCTGGCTCCTCAAGGTCCTGCAGTGGCTGCCCCCCTGCGCCCCCACATGGCCTCTTCTCTGTGCCTATGTGTGTCCACATCTCCTCCTCTTATAAGGGACCCGTCAGGTGGGATCAGGGCCCACCCTCATTTTATTTTATTATTTATTTACTAGAGGCCTGGTGCACAGAATTTGTGCACTTGGTGGGGGTGGGGGGGTGTCCCTCAGCCCGGCCTGCGCCCTCTCGCAGTCCGGGACCCCTCTCATGGTCCAGGACCCCTTGCTCCTTACTGCCCGCCTGCTTGCTGCCTTACCACTCCATGCGTTGCTCCTCAGCGCTGCCACCTGGGAGGCAGGAGAGGCTCCCGCTACCACCACTGCCCTCGCCGGCTGTGAGCCTGGCTTCTGGCTGAGTGGCGCTCCCCCTGTGGGAGCTCACTGACCACCAGGGGGCAGCTCCTGTATTGAGCATCTGCCTCCAGGTGGTCAGTGCTCATCATAGCGACTGGTTGTTCCACTGTTTGGTTGGTTTGCATATTAGGGTTTTATTATATAGGATTTTTAATCGTCACCTGAGGATATTTTTCCATTGACTTTTAGGAAGAGTGGAAGAGAGAGGGAAAGACAGAGAAATATCGATGTGAGAGAAACACATTGATTGGTTGTCTCTTGCACATGCCCTTGACCAGGGCCTGGGATGGGGAAGAGCCTGCAACCGAGGTATGTACCCTTAACTGGATTCGCACCCGGGACCCTTTGGTCCACAGGGTGACGCTCTATTCACTGAGCCAAACCAGCTAGGGCCGACCCACCCTCATTTTAACTTCCTCCCCTTCTCAGAGGTCCAATCTACAAATGCATTGTGTTCTGAGGTCCTGGGGTTAGGGCTGCAATGTGTGAATTTGGGGGGACACGGTTCAGCCCAACAATGGTCTCCGCCCATCTTCCTCCAGGACCTCTTACCTTTCTGGCCACTCTCAGTTTTAAAAAAGTGCATCCAGTCAGGTCTAAAACCCCCCTACCCTCTGCCCTCCCGCTCAGCCAGGCGTTAGCCTTGGGGAGACGGAAGGCTCCCAACCAGAGTCTGAGGCAGAGCCTGGCTACAGTCCCCCACTATTGGTTCTTCCTTCTCGCTCAGATATAGAATTGTAGTGGGGGCGCACGGCTGCCCAGAGCAAGGCTGCCCTCCTGGGTGCCTCTGCACAAGTGTTCAGGACTTAGTTCTGCCAGTGCAGTGCGAGCAGAACGGTGAGTGAACTGCTCTCTTCCTTCCTGTTGACGGGGATGAAGCCGAGATGGCCGGAGCTGGCAGCTGTGCCATGAGGGAGATTTGGAAGAGAGGCCGTTGCAGCAGGGAACGGACTAAAAGGGGCCCCGGCCCCTGAACGTCAGCTCCTGGCCACCCACTGGGACTTTTACAGGAAGGAGACTCTAGGTGGCTTCTGCCATGGTTACCTTGGGCTTCCTTCACTACCTGTCCATCAAGATTCATGGCGCATAGTAGGTGCTCAGTAGGTATTCTTTTGAATGACCGGCCAGGCGGAGAGGCACAGGGGCTGGCCTGGCTGTGCCTTCAGCGAGACTGGGGAGCCAACCGCAAAGGACCATGGACTTGCCCGGAGGTGATAGAATCTGCCTTTCCTGTTGGGGCGGGGAGGTGGCTGGTCCGTCCCACTCGTGAGCTTCCCTTCTGTGGGGACAGAGCTCCAGGAAGCTAGCTCAGCCCCCCTCCGCCCCCGGAGAGCGGTGACTTCATCTGACACGCGTGTTTGGGCGCCGGGCGGGTGGGCACAGCCGGGTCCTGCCCCTTGTCCCTCGGGACCAGGTGCTGTTGGCTGTACACCCGGTGGTCTGCTCCTCCGTGCCAGGTTGTATGGAAACAAACCCCCCACCCCCGCATGGAGAGGCCTCACTGCCTTACAGGGCGGGTTCAGGAACTGCCTGGCAGAGCCTCCAGTAGCAGCCGCGTGGGCACGGAGGTGACACTTGTCTCCCAGCTTCTTCCTGCTCTTGCGCCCCAGTTGCTGTAGAACTTGGTAGGAAGAGCAAGGCGTTTATTAGTCCCACAGCCCAGCAGCACCTGTCCCCCTGGCCCTGGGGGATGCGGGCCCAGAAAGGGAGTGTCCGTGCCCCCAAGTGCAGAGTCCTCTCACCACACGCCCCCAGGGTGCGGGCAGGGCCTCCGGAGCGGGGAGGGCCAGCCTGGGGTGCGAGGTGCTGAGCGCTGTGTTCTAGAACTCTCTGGGCCCAGGTCCTGTGCGCCTGGCTGGAGCTCTCCTAGGTGCGCGGATCTGTAAGAGGCAAACAGAGACAGGTCCACACCCTGAAGTTGCTCACGGTCCCTGCACCCATTTTACTGTGGCAAAGACAGAGGCAAGGCCTCGAACCGGGATGCAGGCAGTGGAGGCCAGGACCAAGGCCCGTCCGCTGGCTGGCTGATGCCCAGCCCCTCAATCCAGCCGTCTTCATGGGGTGTCCACACGCCTCTCTCTGCACTCCCCCCACCCAGCCCCTCCTGGGTCCTCCTCCTGCTCATGGAGCTGCAAGTTCCACCTGCTGCACTCACTCCTTCTCCGGGAAGTGCATGCTGGGGGCACGGCAGGAGGCGAGAGACCCCGTCCAGCCTCCACTCCAGCCCCAGGTTTGCCTGCCTAAGCCTCGGGGCACCAGGGGCACGGCTTCCGCCCCCCACTCCCCGGCCTCTCACCTGTGCCCATGTCCGTGGGGAGCTTCCCCGTCTCCAGGAAGAGCCAGAGGTCGCTGCACTTCTGGGTCTCCACGCGGGTCACCCAGTAGCTGGCCACGGAGCCTGCAACTGGGGGGCAGAACGGGCAGGGGGCTGGAGGTGGGCCTCTGCACTTCTCAGGGACGGGACCGTGGGCACAGGATCTTCTGGGCGGATGGTGGTGGTGGGCGTGGGTAGGGCTCCCCGGGAACTGGGGCCCCATCCCCGGGGCAGGGATGCCTGGAACACAGCCCCCCGGGGCTCTTAGTGGGACCCACTCCTCTGAAGAGCCAGAGTCGCCCCGGCAACCTGGGGGCCCAGGCAGGGAGGACCCACCCACGGCCACCAGGACGGTCCACTGGAAGGGGTACTTCAGCCTCCTCTGCACGGACATCTGCAGGCCCAAGGCCGCCCCGGTGCCTGCAAGAGACAGGCCTGTGGGCAGGCTGGCCAGGCGCCCAGCACCTGCAGGCGCTACCTGCTGGGGAGGCAGATGGGGACAGGAGGGCGCGGGCTGTGCACGCTGAGCACCCGGCCCGGCCTACCTGTGACGAAGGTGACGATGCCCTTCACGAAGGCGCGCGACTGGCAGGCGGCGTACTCGCCCAGCCCCTGCGGGGGAGGGGAGGGGTCACGCTCAGGTCCCCCCTCTTCCTCCGCGGTCCCTCCGCCCCTCCTTTCGGCACTCGCCGTGAGGCCCTGAGCTGGGACACATCCCACCGCCCATGCCGGATGCCCAGCAGGATGCCCACCAGGGTGCCCCACCCCCATAGCAGAGGGTCCTGACTCTCTACCCCTTGGCCCCGACGAGGGCGCACCCGCCGAGCCCCCGCCCCGCTCAGGGCAGCTCCGAGGTCGGGAGCCCGCGTCCTAGGCCGGCTTTCTCACCGGGTGCTTGGCGGCTACGGCGTCGTCCACCCGGGACAGGCCCAGGTTCACCATGGCTGGTGGGGCCTGGCCGGCCGGTCCACGCAGGCGCGGGCGGAGGGACCGGGGCGGGGCGGGGCGGGGCGTGGTGGAAAGGGGCGGGGCCTGGAGGGCCTATCTGCGCAGGTGCTGGCGGAGGGGCCGGCCGGGGCGGGGCGTGGTGGAAAGGGGCGGGGCCTGGAGGGCCTATCTGCGCAGGTGCTGGCGGAGGGGCCGGCCGGGGCGGGGCGTGGTGGAAAGGGGCGGGGCCTGGAGGGCCTATCTGCGCAGGTGCGGGCGGAGGGGCCGGGCGGGACCTGGTAAGGACCAGATGGGCGGGGCGGGGCGGGGCTGAGAAGAGGGGACGGGCCCGGAGTAGGGGGCGGGGCCTGACGCGCCCTGCAGCCCAGGCTCTGCGAGGTTGCGCGGCGGAGGTCGGGTCGCGCTCCCCGTCCCGGGCCCAGCTTGGTCCCTGGAGCTGGACTCCACCAACTGAGCCCTCTGCTGCTCGCCCCCCAGCACACGGGCTCCTGTCTGGGCTGTGAATTCCCGACACTAACAGGCAGAGTGAGCCTGGGCGGGGTTGGGCGGGTGCAGGCCTCCTCAGGGTCTCACCTCTGGGTGCCCCGGGCAGCTCTGCGGAAATGCTGCTGGGGTCCCCACCACACGGGCCCAGGCGGGTCCAGAGGCCGCCTCCCTTCTCTGTCCCAGAGGAGCGAGCTCCTTGCTCTCCCGCGGGTTTCTTCCTGGGCAAGCCCTGCGGGGCCTGGGCGCCCGGCTCCAGGAGGGGCCGCGACCCTGCAGCCTGTGTGGGTGTGCTTGTGTGCACACTGTGCGTTGCACAGGCGCGTGGGTGTGTGAGGGTGCTGGGAGGGACCCCCGCGCACCTTGCCAGCAGGCGATTACTGAAGGATATCAGGCTCCAGATTAGCAGGAGAATGGAGTCCTCTGACCCTAGGTCCTTGCTAACCCAAGGAAGGACTGAAGCTCTGAGCTGTTTTTTAAAAAAAATTTACTTCAGAGAGGAAGGGAGCGGAGGAGAGGGAGAAAAACATCAGTGATGAGAGAGAATCATTGATTAGCCGCCTCCTGCATGTCCCCCACTGGGGATCGAGCCCACGACCCGGCATGTGCCCTTGACTGGAATCGAACCCGGGGCCCTTCAGTCTGCAGGCCGATGCTCTATCCACTGGGCCAAACCGACTAGAGCAAGCTTTGTGCTCTTGCCAGAGGTCTGTCCTGCTCCATCCCCGCCCCACCCTTTCCCTGGCGCTCTGGACTTCTAGTGGGAACTTATACTCCTTCAGGCTGCCCTGCCCTTAACCCAAGAGGTGGCATTGGGGAAGATTTTATATACACATTAGAGGCCTGATGCACGAAATTTGTGCAAGAGTCTCCGCTCTCGCAGCCCCAGCTTTGTCCGAAGGTCGTCCGGACGGTCGTTCTGCCGTTCAGTTGATTTGCATATTATGCTTTTATTATTATAGATGTAGCTTGTATATACGCTTTTAAAAATTAAGGCCTGCCCTGGCCGGTTTGGCTCAGTAGATAGAGCATCCATTGACCTGCGGACTGAAAGGTTCCAGGTTCGATTCCGGTCAAGGGCATGTACCTTGGTTGCGGGCACATCCCCAGTAGGAGGTGTGCAGGAGGCAGCTGATCGATGTTTCTCTCTCATTGATGTTTCTAACTCTCGTTCCTCTCCTTTCCTCTCTGTAAAAAAATCAATAAAATATATTTTTTAAAAAATTAAGGCCTGATTTAAGTACAGTGGAATTCGCCCTTTTTGGCGTGTAACTCTAAGTTTAGACCCATGCAGTCAGTCATGTGACCACCGCAGCCCACCCAACCCAAAGTCTCTGCAGGCCACTTGTCATCAGTGGCTTTCCCACCGTGTCCCTGGCAACCATGGCACAGCTTTCTGTGCCTCTGGGTTTGCCTTTTCTAGAACATCCTGGAAAAGGGGCCCGGGCTGTGCTTCCTGGCGTCTCTCACCGCATCACGGGAGTGGGATTTACCCAAGTTGCTGTGCTAACTCACGACTTGTTCCTTCTGTGCCTGAAAAGTGCCCACCGCCAGGGGCTGCAGCTCCGTCACCCATTCCCGAGACACCGTTGTTTCCACTCCTCGGTGCCGGTGAATGAAGTCCCCCCGACACCCACGCTGGGCTTTGCGTGTTTTATTTCTCTGGCGTAGACCCCTGGGGGTGCGGTTGTCGGGGGGCAAATGAGTGTCGAGCTTTAGGAACCTGCCTGGCGGTTCCCAGTGCACCGCCCACTTCTCCACCCAGCCGTGATGTGTTTGTGTAAAAACACGCTGCATTCCCACAGGCGAGCAGGTGTGTCCCAGGGGGCTCCACTTGCCTCTCCCCAGGACGAAGGATGTTGAACTCTTTTTCATGTTTATTTTCCACCCGAATGTCTTCTTTTTTTTAAAAAAAATATTTTTATTGATTTCAGAGAGGAAGGGAGAGGGAGAGAGAGACAGAAACATCAACGATGAGAGAGAACCATTGATCAGCTGCCTCCTGCACGCCTCCTACCGGGGATTGAGCCCATAACCCGGGCTCATGTGCCCTGACCAGGAATTGAATCGTGACCTCCTGGTTCATAGGTTGATGCTCAACCCCTGAGCCACGCCGGCTGGACGAATGTCTTTGTTGAAATATCTTTCTAAACCATGTTTCCCGTTTTTTTGTGTGTTGTTTTTTCCACATTGGGTGGTTTGTTTTTATTCTCGAGTCTTGAGAGTCCTTTGTAGATTCTGGGTCCAAGTCCTTTATCAGATGTATGTTGTGTAAATATTTTCCTGGGAGACTTTGCCTGCCTTCTATCCTGTGACTCTGGGACGAGCTGGCGCCTCCTGAACCCTGTGGAGGCGCCAGCAGAAGCCTCAGCTCCACCCCTCCCTCACGCTGGCGACCCGGGTCTTTCTCCCACCCCAGACCCCTTCTACTCTGGAGCATTGCTAGTTCCAGCCCTCCCCGGGGACCCGGGGCATCTGGGTGGGGTGCCCCAGGCCACATGCCGCTCCTGCCATGGTGTCCCTGGGTGCTCGGTCTGCATGGACACGAGAGGTCACCTGCAGAGGCCTTGGCACCCCAAGCCCCCACCAGCCGGCAGTGCCTCCCTGGCGACACTCCCGCCCAAATACTTATGCAACCGGTGATAAGGCGACTCAGAGACCATAATCCATCCTGAGTGACAGCTCACCCCCACCCTTCCGCGTGCTTGCTGGAGGCCTAGTTGGTGGCTGTGTGGGGGTAGGGGTGGGGCAGAGGAGGTCTGGAGTGAGGGGCGCCCAGGCCTTTGATGTCACCTCTGTCACAGCTGCCCTGGCACAGGCTCTGCCCCTGGACTAGGCCCAAAGGCCGGGCCAGTAGTGACTTCACTACTGTGTGGGGAGCAGAGGGAGTGAGGACTGGGGGGGACCCAGGCCCAGAGTGGGGGCCGCTGGCTAGAGCTAACCTGAGCCTGACTGCTCCCTGCAGCACCCCAAGGGCCCTGGGTCCCTGCCCCAGCCACAATGGAGGTGGACGGAGGTGCTGAGGACCCTAGTCTCTGCTCGGGCCCCCAGGACTGCCGGGCAGGTCAGGGGGCAAATCCCCAGCTTGGAGGAGTCAGGTGAGAGCCCAGCTTCCTGGAGCCATCCAGGAAATGACCCCCGGAGCCTGTGGGGACACTTGAGTGATTGTGCCCAACAATGGACAAAGGAGGCTGGGGTTTCCGGAGCCCGAACGCCTTACACCGCCCAGCCTGCCGATCTGGTGAGTCGGCTGAAACCTATAAAGCCGGGTCCGCTGGTGCTCAGACACAGTCAGGGGCCAAAGACAGGCATGGGGATGCAGTCCGTTCTGTTGGGCCGGGTTCTGGTGCTGCTCTGTGCGTCCACAGCTTGGGGTGATGTCCTGGTACAGCCAGATTTTGATGCCAAGAAGGTACTGGAGGCCTCCGTGCTGTGCTGTGCTGTGCTGTGGTGGGGCTGGGGGCTGAGCTGCTGAAACCCACAGGGATGGGGGAACAGCCAGAGCCGTCTCCCCCTGCGAGGCCTCCGGCCTACGACCCTTTAGACTTGCTCTCTATGGAACCCTGAAACCACCCTGTGGGGGGTGATTGCTGACCCACTTCGCAGTGGGGTACGGAGGCTCACAGTGGTGGTGTGACCTGCCCCCAATACGTGCAGAACAGGCTCTTGTCCACCCCGGCCTCAGACCCAAGAGGTGAACATTCTGGAGACCCGCTGTGGGTCCTCAGACAAGTCCCGGTTCTGGGTTGCCGGCCTTGTGCTCTGGGCCCTGAGCCTGCTGGTCACCGAGCTCCTCCCAGTTCTCAGGCCTCTGGTACGTGGTCGCCATGGCCTCCGACTGCAAGGTCTTCCTGGGCAAGAAGGACCACCTGCTGATGTCCACCACGGCCATCACCGCCGGGGCTGGGGGCAACCTCAACGTCCACATGGAGTTCCCTTGGTGAGCCTGGCGCGGTGCCGCTGGCGGGTGGGGGAGCCTGGGCAGCTCGGAGAGTGAGTGGGCTGTGCACCCTCAGGGGTGACGGCTGCAACCGCATGGACGCCGAGTTCCTCAAGGTGGGCGCCGAGGGACACTTCAGAGTCCCAGGTAGGTCCTGCCCCTCCGCCTTCCTAGGCCCCTGATGCCGGTTCTCCATGGGGTGATCATGGGACTGTCCTTATACCCAGGACCCCCTCCATCACCATCTCCTGCCCCTCTCCCTTCGCCCCTGGGAGCAGAGGCCAGCGCGGGTGGGGGTCGGTCCGGGGCCCCTGCAGCTCTCCTCCTCCCCAGACTTGGGCTACCTGGACGTGCGCATCGAGGAAACCGACTACAGCTCCTTCGCCGTGGTCTACATCTACAAGGAGCTGGAGGGGGCGCTCAGCACCATGGTGCAGCTCTACAGTGAGGCCCGCCTGCCCCGCCCCGCCCACAAGGCCCCGCCCACCAATTTATGCCCCGCCCCGCCCACACAGGCCCTGCCCACCATCTATGCCTCGCCCCGCCCACCCCTCTCGCCCCGCCCACCCTTTTCCTCCTGGCCCCGCCCCTTCAGGACCGGCCCCAAATCCTCCTTTGCCTCCTCCTGGTCACTTACTCCCAAGTCTGGGCCAGGGAGGGTCGGGTCCGGGTGTGAGATGGGGCAGCGGGACCCACCGCGCTTTGATGGGCAGGGGTTGCCTGGAGGGGCCTCTGAGGGCGGACACGCAGGCCCCCCGCTGGCCTCCTGAGGGTGGGGACCCACCTTCCTGGCTGCCTGAGACCCTGAACCAGGGCTGAGAGCCTATCTGGCTTTAATTTCCGGGGTATCTGCAGAGTGGCGCTCCCCCAACTGGAGAGGCTGGGGTGGGTGAAGGCAGGAGGGTGGCCTTGCAGGAGGAGAGTCTATGGGGGGCGAGGCGAGCCCAGGCAAAGCAGCTGGGCCCCCACCTCCTGGACACCCTGTGTGACTCGGGAAAGGGCGCCCCTCTGGGCCGATTCCAGCCCCCACAGCCCCTCAGCCAGGCAGGCACACCTGTCTGTCCTCCCCGCTCACCTCTGTGAGCCGCGGGGTTACAGGGGCCCGCTCTGCCCCAGGCCGAACCCAGGAGGCGAGTCCCCAGGCCCTGAAGGCCTTCCGGGACTTCTACCCGACCGTGGAGCTCCCGGACGACATGACGGTCATGCTGCCGAAGTCAGGTGCCCGGCCTCGCTCCCCCCCCCCCCCCCCAGCCTCGCCCGGGCCGAGCCCCTCCCCCCGCACCCCCCCTCCGCTCTGACCAAACCCCGCCCCCGCCTCGCCCCGGCCAAGCCTTGTAGCACCAAGCCCCGCCCCTCCCTGACCAGTCCCGACAAGCCCCGCCCACCAACCCGCCCCAAGCCCCGCCCCTCCAGGCCAGATCCCGCCCCGCCAAGCCCCGCCTTCAGCTCCCTTTCTGATTCCCTGAGCTTAAGCCAGCGGCTGGGCTGGCAGCGACTCCAGCCCCTCCTGCCCGCAGCCCCTTCCCCCCCACACACCCCGAGGGAGCGGCCTGGGGAGCCCAGAAGGGAGAGTCCTCGGCTCCACCCTCTGGGTTTGGCTGTACCGGTCCCACCACACCCAGGGGTTGGGGGCTTGGTGGGGCGTGTCTGCCGGCTCCGCCTCTCACGGACTGTCTTCCTTCCTACAGATGCGTGCTCCTCGGGGGGCCAGGAGGCACCCTGACAGCTCTGGAGACTCACCTGGGCCCTTCCCAGGTGGAGGACAGGGTAATCCCCCTTCCTGTCCTGCAGGGCCTGCGCCCTCTCCTCCCCAGGCCTCCTGCTCTCCCACCAGATTCCCCTCCCACCAAATCCACTTGCATTGTTCCGCCGGGTTGTGGTGCTTCAGTCTCAGCTCCCCTCCTCCAGGAAGCCCCCTTGGATTTCCTTCATCTGACATAATAAATGACCACAAACGGGGTGGCTTAAAAACAAGAGACAGTTACCCTCTCACAGCTTTGGCAGCCACAGGCCCTAAATGGAGGTGTGGGCAGGCAGGGCTGGCTCCTCCCGGGGTTCCAGAGGCAGCTCCCTGCCTCCCCAGCTCCTGGTGGTGCCGGCAACCCTGGCCTCCCTGGGCTTGTAGACCCGTCCCTCACATCTCTGCTCCACTGTCCCATGGCCGTCTCCCTCTGCGTGTCTGTGTCCAAAGGTCCTTCTTCTAACAAGGACACCCGTCATTGGCTGTGGGGCCCACCCTAAGTCCAGGGGCTCTCATTGTGAGACCCCTAAGTAATTACTTCTGAAAGAACCTATTTCCAAAAAAGGTCACATTCAGAGTTCCAGGTGGACTTGAATGTTGGGGGGGATCTATCCAACCCGGTGCACCCTGTGTCCCCATATGCCCCAGCTCACCCCCTGGGCACCAGGCCCCTGCTTTGGGAAGGCCTGGGCCCTCGTCCACTCTCTGAGGGTCCCCTGGAGGACCCCCATTCACTGCCCTCACAGGGCTGGGTCCCCGGGAGCCCTTGGGACACACAGGCAGGTGGGTGGGGTCTTGGGGACACCTTCCCCCAAAGTGGACACCAGGGAACCCTCAGGCCCCTTCCCCAGGTTCCTGGAGGAGAATTCGGGAACCTCAATAAAGCAGTGAATACAGGTTGGGAGTCACGGCGTCCGCACTGGGCAGCTTCCTCTTTATCCTGCACCCCGTTCCCTGGGCCCCTGGCTGTCCTGGCTACGAACCCAGGGTCCTGGGGACATTGGGGTGCTTTGACTTTCCGTGGGTCTAGCTGATGCTGCCGGCGTCCTGGTGCCGCCTTCTGTCCGTCACACGCGTGGTTGTTTCAGGAACATTACCGGGTAGGAGGAGAGGGCGTAGGGAATCGAGCCAAATCCTGCTGTTCCAGAAGGTTGTACCTGTAGAGAGTGTGAGCTCCGTCTTCCTGCTCTGTGCCCCCTCCCCCCCCAGATGGTCTTAAAAAGAAAAAGCAGCTTTGGGGTCAGGTGCTGGTCTGTGGGCTCCGCGGTGTTTACTGGCCACCCTGGGCCTTGCTTCCACACCAGCCCCTCACCGCCCGCCCGCCAGCCAGGGAGGAGGCACCGGCACTGTGGCTGGGTCCCCAGGACCCCGGGCAGCCCTGGGGCCCCTGGGGGAGCAGTGGTGGGCGTGTTCTGCATCTGCAGAACTTCGGGTAGCTGAGTAGCTCTCAGGGCCGTGCAGGGGATGCTGTGTCGGGGGGCAGCCGGGGCGGCTGAGTGTTTGCTGAGTGGGCGGGTGGGTGGATGACCATGCCTTTCCCGTCCCTGCAGGGCAAGCCGGAGCAGCAGGCCTCGCTCGGCACCCCACGCCTCCCAGACCCCGGCCTTCCCTTTACTCCAGGCCTTGCCCACCTCCTCCTGCTCACCCCCATCCCCAGTGCCTCCCGCTTCCGCTCAATAAACTGATTCTACAGGCTCCAGGCTCCTCGCTCCTTGGAGAGGCCTGAGGGAGAGCACAACGCGCCCCACCTCGGCCTTGGGCTTCTGGGGGACTGAGGCAGGGAGGAGGGTGGGCAGGGACTCTGGCTGCTGGGCTCCTCCTGGCTGAGTGAGGGCGGGAGGCTCCAGCTAAGCCTGGCACCTGGACCCCGGGCAGCATCTCGCTCCCGCCGGCTTGACCCCATGGACTCGCAGCAGCTGCGGGAAACCGAGGCCCCTGGGGAGACCGGCCCTCCTGCTGGGGCTCTGTGGCAGGAGCTGGCGGCAGAGCAGCTCGGGGCCTTGGGGTTTCACTCCCGCCGCTGGAGTGGCCCCGACCTTGGGCACCTGTGTAAGCCTCTGCGAGGCCCGGAAACGGGTCAGGGCGGTGGCCAGCGCTCTCTGCACCCTTGGCTGCCAGCCGGCCCACGTGGCCGCTGGGCACGTGCAGTCAGCCCACTGTGCTCCTGGCTTCCCAGACCTGGAAGCGGAGGCACAGAGGTCAGCGACTTGAGCAGCCAGGGGCCCAGCTGGGGTCAGGCCCCGGGGTCAGGCTCCAGGGCCCGGCTCCATGTTGACCCTCGAGGAGATGTGGGGGCAGGAGAGCCACCCCGGGACCGTGCCACGCCGTTCCCCTCCCTGACGCCGAGGCTGTGGTCTCCCCAGGAGTCCGGGTTTCCAGGTTATGTCCGGCGTGCACCTCAAAGGGCCGGCGTGGGCGGGCAGGAAGGCACAGAGGTCCCGCCTCACTGCTCCCGGTGCCCTGTGGCCCTGGCAGAGCTGGCGCCGGAAGGAGTCGGCCCTGAGGACACCTGTCCTCATCCTGCCCTGGTCACCCAGAGGCAGCAGGTGCCCCCACACTTCCTGTCTCCCCTCTGCTGCCCGGTCAAGCCCATCCCAGGGGCCCTGGCTTATCCACCCGGGGCCAGGGTCAGCCTGGGACTGGGGTCAGCCAGCCCTCAGCCTCCTTACCCCTCTGCCCCTGCCCTGGGATGGACCCCTGGGTCCCCAGTGTGCCAGCCAGTGGGCCACCCCGTCCTAGCTTGAACCCCAACCTGACAGCCTTTGTCGGAGGCAATGCCACACCCAGGAGGCATCATTACAGACGGGGAAACAGGCAGAGTAGCTGGGTCACGTGGCCGGAGGGGCAGGCCGGTACCCAGGAAGCCTGAGTGTGTCTTCACCCTGACATGCTAATCGTCTGGCCCTGGGCCTGGGATAGGGCATTGGGGGTGGGGGCTGGGGTGGGGGAGGGAGGCCTGGGCACGGTGGACATGGCACAGGAAGAAGAGCAGTCGTCGGCGGTGGCGGGTGGGTGCCTGCAGAGGTCCACCAGGCCGGCCAGACCCTCCTCCGCCTCCCTCGGCCCCTCCCCCTCCCAGGCCTCAGAGGTGCTCCCCCTGCAGGAAGGGTCCTCAGAGGAGACCCCCAGGCAGAGGACCCCTCGCTCATTCCCGAACCCGGAGGGCAGGCCCCGCTCGGCTCTTGGCACCCAACTAGCCCTCCGTGCCTTTGCCCCAAAGAGCGCGGCTCAGGGCTGAGCGTCCACCTGTGAGCCAGGAGGCCAGGGTTCGATTCCCGCTCGGGGCACAGGCCCGGGTGGTGGGCTCCATCCCCAGTGTGGGGCGTGCAGGAGGCGGCCGGTCCATGGTTCTCTCTCATCCTGGATGTTTCTGTCTCTCCTTCTCCCTTCCTCTCTGACATCAATAAACATATATTTAAAGAAAAAGAAAAAGGGCCCTGGCAGGAGTGGGCCCCAGGGCACCGGCCGACAAGTCCCGTCCGTGTGTCGGCGGGGAGCTGCCGGGAGCCTGGCGGTGCTCCGGCCCCTGTGGGGTGGGACCTCCTGCTCTCAGGCCCCCGCGGGCCCTGTGCCGCGTCCACGCTGTCCCGGCTGCTCCGGGCCAGGCCAGCCCCGCGAGGCTGTGGGCGTCCCACGGCGGGATGGCCCTGCGGCAGGAGAGGCCAGCTCCTCTGGCAGCCTGTGGCCGGTGATTGCGTCACCTGCGTCCCTGGGATATAAACCGGGTGCCGGGCAGCGGCGTGGAGAGCGCTGGGCAGCGATGGGGGCCGGGCTGCTGGGCGCCGTCCTGGGCCTGGTCCTGGTGCAGGTGGAGGTGGCCGTGCAGGACCTGGACCTGCAGAAGGTGGCTTCCCGGCTTGGTCTTGGGGAGAGGGGGTCGGGAGGGGCCCCGTGTCCAGCTGCTCCAGTCCCCGTCCCTCCAACCCCCAGCGGGGGCCGGAGCAGCTGCCCCGACGGGGGGCCCAGCGCCCACCCAGGTCGCCCCCACCTGACGCTGGGGACACAACTTCTTTTCTGTTGCAAAAACGATCAGCGGAGATTCCGGTGAAGGAGGACAGAGCTGTGCCTCTTCTGTGGGGACAGGCTGCTGGCGGCTGAGGGCCCCACAGGGCCACGGGCTCCTGGCCGGGTTTACAGCTGGCACCCTCTCCAGCCTCTCTCTCTCTCTCTCTCTCTCTCTCTCCCTGCCATCCTCCCCGTCCCTCAGGGGCGCAGAGCGGGCAGAGGCGCTTCCCGGGGACTGCACACCGGCCTGCGGGAGGGGTTCCCGTGGGCATGGCCGGCTGATGCCAGAAGGGGCCCCTCCCAAGGGTGACCGCCTGCTCCTTTGCCCCAAGCCTTGCGCTGTCCGCTGACCTTTCAGAACTGGCAGCTCCCTCCCCGGGGGGCTGGGGGCCCCACCCCTGGACCTCCGTCCGGCGGCCCCATGGTCTTGGCTCTGCCCCTCCCTCTAGATTGCGGGGTTCTGGCGGGAAGTCGGCGTGGCTTCCAACCAAAACCTGGCACTGAAGACCCCGCGGCGGCCGGAGGCCGTGTTCCTGACCCTGCGCGGGGCCGAGCTGACTGTGAAGGCCGCGTACAATAGGTGAGGCCCGAGCTCGCGGGGAGCAGGTGTCTGCCAGGTGCCGGGGCCGCCCAGCTGCACGCCGGTGGCTCTGGGGTGTGGACGGTGTGGTCATTGGTGGGCCAGCCCTCCCTGCGTCCACCACTGAGACCTTGACCCGCCTCCCCCACTGAGACCAGAGCCCGTGCTCCTGGCAGCCCGGCTCTCCCTTAGCATCAGAGCCGACGACGCCGTCCATGTGTAGGAAGGAAGTGGCTTCAGGGAAGGTGGCTCCTGTGGTCCCGGAGCCACGGAGCCATGGATGGGGAAAGGGGAGTCCGGGGGGCTCCGCCCTGTCCTTCCTGAAGACATGGCCCCCCCCCCCCCCCCCGTGAGCCCAGCAGGAGACACAGCCTGGCTTTTCCTAATGAGCACTTTGCTGCCTTTCAGCTCAGGAAGCTGTGAGACAGAAAACATCGTGGGCTCAGAGGTCGATGTTTCGGGGAGATTTGTTTTTCCCGGTAAGAATGTTGTCCTGTTGTTGCAGGTACAACCCCGTGGCCCTGCATACCAGCAACGTGGCCTTGGTGCTCCCACTCTGTTCCTTGTGCTGCTCCCTATGCTGTTCCCCACTCTGTTCCACATGCTGTTCCTGTGCTGATCCCCACTCTGTTCCCTGTGCTGTTCCCCACTCTGTTCCACATGCTGTTCCCTGTGCTGTTCCCCACTCTGTTCCCTGTGCTGCTCCCCACTCTGTTCCATGTGCTGTTCCCCACTCTGTTCCACGTGCTGTTCCCCACTCTGTTCCACATGCTGTTCCCTGTGCTGTTCTCCATGCTGTTCCCTGTGCTGTTCCTTATACTGTTCCCCACTCTGTTCCCCACTCTGTTCCCTGTGCTGTTCCCTGTGCTGTTCCTCACTCTGTTCCCTGTGCTGTTCCCCACTCTGTTCCACATGCTGTTCCCTGTGCTGTTCTCCATGCTGTTCCCTGTGCTGTTCCCTATACTGTTCCCCACTCTGTTCCCTGTGCTGTTCCCTGTGCTGTTCCTCACTCTGTTCCCTGTGCTGTTCCCTGTGCTGCTCCCCACTCTGTTCCACATGCTGTTCCCTGTGCTGTTCTCCATGCTGTTCCCTGTGCTGTTCCCTATACTGTTCCCCACTCTGTTCCCTGTGCTGTTCCCTGTGCTGTTCCTCACTCTGTTCCACGTGCTGTTCCCTGCGCTCCTCTCCACGCTCCAGACTTTCTCACGAATACACCTGCCACCCTTCAAGGGCTACTCTAGCCCCACCTCCACCCGGGCTTTATGGACGGGTCAGGGGGGTGCGGAGAGGAGGGAGTCTGACCCCAAGGGGTGCTGGTCTGCACAGCCGCCCCTTCCACTCGCTCCCCAGGCCACAGGGAGATCCATGTGATCGACACGGACTACGAGCGCTACGCCATCCTGAGGCTGTCCCTCCACTGGCAGGGCAGGGCCTTCCACGTGCTCAAGTACTTCAGTGAGTGCCTGGCGGGCCCTGCGGTCCTGCTGGGGTCCTGCTGCCCCACCCCTAGCCCCCCTCAGCCCCCCTCAGCCCCCCTTAGCTGCCCTCAGCCCCCCTCAGCCCCCCTCAGCCCCCCTCAGCCCCCCTCAGCCCCCCTTAGCTGCCCTCAGCCCCCCTTAGCCCCCCCTCAGCCCCCCTCAGCCCCCCTCAACCCCCCTCAGCCCCCCTCAGCCATCCTTAGCCCCCCTCAGCCCCCCTCAGCCCTCCTCAGCCCCCCTCAGCCCCCCTCACCTGCTCAGCCTGCTGCACCCACAGCTCGCAGCCTGGAGGACCAGGATGAGCCGGGCTTCTGGCGGTTCCGGGAGCTGACGGCAGACACGGGGCTCTACCTGGTGGCCCGGCACGGTGAGCCCAGGCCTTGGGGCGGGCGATGGACCGGGGACGCTGTGGGTGGGGTCCGGGCACGTCCGCGTCCCTCACACGCCCCGTCCACAGGGAGGTGTGCCAAGCTCCTGAAGGAGGTGAGCATTCGCCGGCCGCTCTGCCCGCTGAGGCCCCGCCCAACAGGACCGGCTCCGCTAGCCCCGGCCTCCAGGGGGGTGACACGCAATGCCAGGCGGGGACGGAGGCCGGTGCAGGGCCCGCTGGCTGGGGGCTGGG